AACATTTAACGTTTTGTATTTATATTCCCCTCCCCCCCCCTCTTCCCCTCATTAAGCAAATAGTGGAATAGTAAACTATTCCAGTAAACATTTCAGTAACAAAACATCAATGTTATAATTGTTATTTATGTTTCAGTGAATTCTTTCAGTCTTGCATTATACACTAGATTAGTGCATATTAAAAGCTATACATGAAATTAGCAAGTTAAATATAGAAGCATATAAATATTTTAAACAATATCCTATAATAATAACAGTGTCACATTGTTTAATATATTAGTATTATTTCAATGATCAAAATTGATTATATATTATACCATTGATTATATATTATACTGCATTTCCTTTTATAAAGCAGCTATTTAATGTGCAATAATCCAATGCAAATGACTGTAAATTTATTACTCAATAAATATAACATCAATTTCTAGTATATATCACATTATAATTTTACATTGAACAATGTAACTGTTATGTATATTATACATTATATTATATTTATATTGTTGCACATGAAATTATAACATTGATATTATATTAATTATTTACTGGGATATTTTAAAAGTTGAGTGTTTATATTAATATCAATAGGTAAGAATTATATAAATATTACAGGATGTTAAATCCATATATTTTTTAAAGTATATACTAACTGTTTATTTATAAATTTAAAATCATGACAGATTGATATCATCCCCATTAAACTCAAGTTCTACTATAAAATCTACTGATATAATCTGACAGTAGATTGCTAACAAAAACCAAATAGAAGATCTATCTTCATAATAATATACATATATTATAAATTATTATAGAATGATTATGATAGAATGATAGCTAATTCTGTTCAAGTTTTGCAGTTAATCTGCCATCATATTCTATTATTTTTTTATTGATATTTTACCAAGAAAATTTGTAATAATTTCAATAGATTTGACTGAGAACCATTTCATAAATTTTAATTTTACCACTGGTAAATGAAATAAAAAATCTGTTTTTTTCTGTTAAAGTACGTGCCTACAAATCATTTCAAGTACATAATAAAAGACGTACGCAGACAGAGATGTCGGGAGCAAGAGGAAAATGTGTGGACATCATTTGTCAGACAACAAGAACTGAATGGTTACAACAAAAATGGCATCCACTCATCTGTTCAGAGCATCAAACAACTGTTGGACGAAGGTATGAGGGAGGCGAATAAAGAACTTAAGAAATTAGAGACAAATATTTTACCTGATGAAGTAAAGAAAGAATATGATAAAACTGGAAACAATCAGAAAAGGAAGCCGAAGGTAAGCGAATTTTCTATGAAAATAATATCACGAGAAGATTGATTGATTAAATTGCTAAAGCTCATATAATAATAGGTAAATAATATCAGGGATTCGACTTCGAAGAAAGTGCCCATTATGAAAGATACAGGGACAGGTAGTACCAATTTGTTGCTTACAATTCCTGAAGAAGATAATGCTCCAGCTTATGAGAGGAGGCATCAGTCTGAGGATTTCAAGTCGTATGCTAGAAAGTCTCACTCTGGTCATGTAATACCGCGAAAAAAGCAATCTTCGAGGCAGCTGCATCATGCGACTAACGGCACCGAATACAATTCCACTCCTGAAAGTAGCGCACGCCATGATACAGATGGAGTCATTTATGTACGACCAGATCCGTTTACTATGCACAAAATTTTGACGATGCAAAGGAAAGTCTGTGATTTATTGGATGAAATAGCGTTCAGACTGGGAAATATCTCGGCGCCGGATGGGATTAAAGATCTACAGAGGCGGCAGCAGTGCGTCGCCGAATTTATTGTTCGATTTTCGAGAAACTATCTATATGATCTTAATAGATACGTCAAGGATATTCAAAGGCATATGTGCGTTATTTCACCACGCGCGACAATAAGGCCGAATCATAGAAATTTGGGACTTCACATGCACGCCATTGAGCATAAATTTCTTGCTGCTCATCAATTGTTGCTGCACGCATTGGTCGCCTATTGTAAACACGTTCCCAGTTCTATTCCCAGAGGACATTCTGGAAAGTTTAGAGAGATACTACAAGTGATCCTCGATCTGAAAACTATGTGTGATAGACTCCACTTAAACTATTTCGAATCGGGGGACACTGATATTTTGTCGTTGGTAATGTTATTTATTAATATAAATTTTTTTGATAACTGATGATTGATTGCATCTTTTTCATTTTACAAAAATACAAAAGGCATTATATTCAAATTTGCATAGAAGTTTTCTCTTTAATTGCAGGGAAAAGAAATTGAAAGCAAATGCAATACCGTTTTGTCAAAATTCAAGCTGTATGCGGATAATGATTTTTTAGATACTAATAAAACTTCATCAATAGCCTCCATTACTCCACATTCAACGAATAAAAGACGACTCAATCGCAGACAATTATCTAATCGATTGAGTATGTACAGCGCGAATACCAAAATTTCCAAAAATATTTCTAAACCCAAAACAAGTATGTAAAATCATTTTATATATTAATAAGTTAAATATATATTTGCGTATGTTATTTTAACTTGTAAGCTATATGCATTATCTTTTAGATTATCATCAAAAAGATAAAAAATATAATATAATAAATGTTAAAAGAATCTCTAACGAGCCAATATTGGATCAACCATATCCTAGTCCTGTAACATCTACTAAAACATCTACTAAAGATGCAAATCAAACAGACGTTAGAAAACATAGAACATTCGCAAAAGAAGAGGATATAAAAACTATGATGGATATATTACCCATAGATTCAGATGTAAACAATTTACTATTTACACGTACAACAAATACGAGATAGATTTATTGTAACATTAATGTAAATTCAAATATGTTGTTTCAAGATATTTATTATTGTCTATTTTACAGGGTAGTAACCTTGAGACGCAGGAAAAGCATAATAATGCAATGCTCACAAGAAGAATATCTAAAGCGCCAAGAAAATATTCTAGCAAGTCGCAAAATCAAAAACAATTAGAAACGATAGAAAATATTGTCAAGAATACGTCCACAAATAATGATGATGAATCCATGAAAAGAGAGCCGATGATTACAAAGGAACATTTATCTAACTTGGTGCCAGTTATAGCAGACTTCATGTCTTTTGTTTCTAATAAGGTGAATTGTAGCAATGTTACATAAATTATCTCTTCTAAAATAAAAAACAATAAGATTATTTAATTATCTTGGTAATTACAATGTATTGTAAACATTAAAAAATTTATACGTAGCAAAATGAATCAGAGACAAGACCAGCTTCTAAAACTATGACGAAGACACTAATGAAATTTCTACAAAAATATCAATTGCCTAAAAGCATGAACGCAAAAATCAATGTGACCACAAGTTGTGACGTATGTTATTCAGACAGCAGTGAATGTGAATATGTTAAAACAAACAGGTATGAATAGACATATATTTTATAAATATACTTTTCCTCGTTTTTTACGTTTGATAGCTAAAGAAATTAAGTTCTAGTTAATATTTTATTTTTAAAGAACTTTAACTGAAAGACGGAAAAATGGCGAAAATATGCAATTGATTTGTATGTCATCGATAGAAGATGCATCAAAAGTATCTCGCTATTGCGATGCATCATGCCAAGCGGATTATGAGAGCTTAATGGATTTGCCAGATTTTGAAGCAAAGGTAAATTGTAAACAGTGAAAATAGTTAAAATATAGCTTGAGAATCAAAATGTAAAATTGTGATGATTAATATTATATAATAGATAAAGGAAGGAAAATTTAAGATAAATTCGCTAAATAATATCGAGCTTGATGTTTCCGAGGAAACTGAGATGAATTTTTTGAAATATAAATGCGAATATCAGCAATTGATGCAATCGATTCCAATGTACTCTAGCAATACACAAAATAAACCATGGGACATTGTCGCTTGGTAAATATAATACTACTACTTTGAAAACTTTATTCTTTAATTTATTTACAACGAATGTATTTACAACGAATAATATTATTGCAGGATATCTGATAAGCTCGTAGATGAGTTGATAATAGAAATAGCAAAGGAGCTGCAAATAGATGATGTCATACAGAAGCTTTTCGAGTTAGAATTCCAAGAATTTTAACGTTAATTGACGTTGTTTCTTTGTCAAATCGGAGAAACGCATAAAAAGAAATATAAGAAACTTTAAATTTGAGAGATTTTATATTATAAATTGCTAATTTTGGAAAAATATAGTATTATAATTTTTTAAAATTATCTCCCATTTTTTTTCACTGAATAGAGCAGATATTTTTTTGAGATGCTTTTAAATATGAATACATATTGAAATGCTATATCACTATACTAGTACTAGTAAAAAATATATCTGTTCGATTTGCCGATCAGCAAATTAGAATATTTGTGGTAGATATCAATTATATTTACATTAAATATATTTTACCAGTAGAACTTATCAACATAATCTGATAGAAGATTAACAGTAGAAACTAATAGAACGTAGAAATCAGATAAAATCTGTTATTTCATATTTGAGAATGGAATATATCCTATTATCATTTTGCTGATAAAGTTTGCAGTTACTCGCAAAATCTGTTTGTAACAGATTCAGTTTTTATATAAGATTTTTAAAATTTTTAATCCATGATTATATATAATAAATCGAAAATAATTATGCGAAACAATTCTTCTTAAGTTTTTATGCGAAATGATTCTTAAGTTTTTCCATGAAAAGAATCTTAATATTATTAAACAATGTTTTTTTGTTGATTAAGATTTGTTGATAAAGTAAAGCTAATTGTTTTGCACGTTTTGTATACAAACGTAACAAATGCGTCATGTTATCAGCTGATTCATTATAAAAAAAAATGCTGGCTCGGCCGGCCATTATCGCGCATGTC